AAAAAAAAAGTTAAACTTTAACAATTAACTGTCCGTATAATTTATATAAATTAATTATTCTTTTGCACGTTAATGATGTTTTGTTTTTCTTTAATTATATTGACATACGTATTTTTATTTGTTTTACATTCATAGATTTAGAAAAAGAATTTAACAAATTTTATTTTTTTTTATCTTCGTCTTGTTTTAGGTTTCATTGGTCTATAACGAAGAATAATTGGATCGGTTGTTTCTGTATGAGGCGAAAAACCAAATGGACCAACATTCATATGATGAAAACGATATTTTAAAAAATCTTGACCATGATAAACAGCTAAATCTGGATCATTATATAGATCATTTGGATCAAAACCATGTGCTTCCATTTGAAACCATGTTGAACCATCTGTTGCTGTTTTACCAAAAAGTAATTGATGATCACGAAAATTTATTCCATATTGTTGAATAGGAATTTGACGGTAATGAGATGAAAAACGTGGATGAGCTGCTGGTGTTTTTGACCATAGATCATATAACAAACCATTATCAAGTAAAATAACATGAGAACCTTGCCAAAGATCCACCTAGAAAGAAAACAAAACAAAAAAGAGTAAATAATGTATAGATAATATTTAAGAATCTAACCAGAGAAATACCAGTTTCATTCATTAGACGACGAAGAAATTTTGACTGATGTGATGATAAATTTAATTCTTGAATATTTTTATCAATTTCATATGTACGACGTTGAAATTCGTCCCGCGTTGAAGGATATGGATGATCATCGAGAACTAAAGATACGACACTATACAGACGTCGTAGAAAAGGATCATTCAATGCAATCGTTGTTCGTAAATGAAAAAATCGATCTTGATGAGATGTTAGTTTTCTTTTTGGTTTTAAAAAACGTACAGCTATAGGAAACGGTAGTCCTTGATGAGGATGATGATGCAGCATTGTTTTGTATACTGTTTACTGTTGAAAATGTGTGTTCTCCTATGAAAACATGTACTAGAACGAAGGAAGGTGTAACCAAGCGGAACAAATGACACGTACAATCAAGTAGGACGTATATATAAAAAAAATTTCCAACGTATGTTTTATGACTAATATAAAGACCAATTATTGTATTTTTATATCATAATTATATAGTATTAATATGTAGGATAGTATATTTGAAAATCTTATTTTGAAATGAAAGAAAAAAAATTCGTATGATGCCTATGGATGGTTTTGAAAGTGTAATTTAATTTGTTTTACTATTTTTTTTTATCAGATTGATTTGATATGTAGATGGGTTTTTTTTCCATCATTGCGGTTGAATCTTAATTACATTAATAGATGTCATATGATTTTATTGTGGAATTGATTTATATCATCTTTTATTAGATATATTGTAGATATTTTTGTAAAAATTTATTTTTTCAACCCGATGATTATGATTAAGAATTATTTATTATTTTGGTTTCTTCCTTATCTCATGTAACAATAAAAAGTAAAAGATTCCGAATTGAAAATTCTTTCGTAATTATGTTCATTATTATTTAGATGAATGAAACAACTACCGATGAATCACTTCCATTACTATTTGAACCGAATCGTCTTTTACGAAGAACTAATGATACACGAACTCCATTTCAAAGAAATCTTGCTGTCTATTTAATTTTATTCAGTGCTGGTTTTGAACGATTAGCATTCTATTCATTAGCTGGTAATCTAACGTTTTTTCTTGATTCAAAATTAATTAAATGGACATTTCCACATACTATTATTGCTCCACTTATCTTTCTCGGTAAAATATCATTAGCAAAAAACAAAAATATATATTATATTTTTAAAAAAGGAACAAGTTATATTTCAGCATTAGTATTCTCCTGGGTAAGTGATGGTCGATTAGGTCGTGCAAAAACAATCATTATTGGTAATTAAAATTTTCTTTCCTCTTGCAATTATTCATAATCTTATTTTTTTTTGGAAATATAGGTTTTACGATATATTGTATTGGTTATACATTTATGATCTTATTTGCCAATGAACATATGCATCAAAACTGGTGTCCAATACATAATAATAATAATACAGATATAGTAACGTCGGATTTTTTTAATGAACTTTGTATTCAATATATTCTTCCAACACTTATTTTAACGTATGTATAAATTTTTATTTAATCAAAATGAAAATCTTATTCTATACAGTGCGATTGGTGTGGGCGCAGTACAAGCTAATATGGCTGTATTTGGAGCTGAACAAGTTCGAGAACAAAAAAATAAAACACGATATTTTGATATTTATTATGCTGCAGTTAATACAGGTGGTCTTATTGCATTTGGTGCTATTGCTTATCTACAAATCAATAAAGATTATTTTATTGGATATTTAGTTCCTGGTGTCTTACTTATTTTGGCATTTATACTATTTTTGATCGGTTATAAATATTATATTCATATTAAACCACATGATTCTGTAATTACAGCATTTTTACCTATACTTATAAATGCATTTCAATCATGGAGAAATCATCGAAGAAATCGACATGGATTAATTAATAGTACGGAACCGTTACATCAAGAAGAACCCATTGTAGAAACAGAAGGTGATAGTAATGATTATTTATCATTTACTATAAGTAGACCATCATGGTCATTTATTGATTATGCTAAAGTAGAGAATAATGGACGATTTCCAGATCGTATTGTCAATGATATTAAATCATTACAACGTATTATTGCTGTATTTCTATTATTAACACCCTATTGGCTTCTCTATGTTCAGGTATATTGTATTTTATTCAAATAATTTGTTTGGAATATAATTCGTATAGGTTGAAACAACATTTATTGTTCAAGGTGCTCATATGAAATTACCAACTTCATTTAAAAAGATGCCTGTTATTTGGCTTTCCCTTGCAAATCAGATTATAATAATTGGTAAGATCTGCGGAATACTTTTTGGCTCTTTATCATATTTATATACATCAGTGGCGGATTTAGGGGGGCGATCACCCCCCTACCGAATTTTTTTTGGATTTTTTACAACAAAAATAGGTTCTCACAACTTCGATTGTACTCAAAAAATAGCTTTAAGACAAAATCCCAGACCCGCCACTGATATAAATATATCTTGAATATATTCAGAAAGATCGGAAATACAAGATTTTTTCTCTTTTTAATCTAGTTACAATCTTCCTTCTGAATACTTTCGTTTATAAACGCCTTCAAGCTAGTGGTCGATCATTTCCAATTAATACTCGTATCGTGATCGGTATGGTTTCAGCAGCACTTTCAATGTGTATGGCCGGTACAGTTGAAATCTTTCGTCAAAATATATGTAAAACACAAAATTTTACACAAATTATTGGTAGATATTTTTATTCTTAAATGTAATTGTCATATATATATATATATATTCTAGCTGATAAGGAATATATAGCCGCAAATATGAGTGTATTCTTTCAATTTCCTCAATATGTTGGTATTGGTCTATCTGAAGTATTTACATCTGTTGCGAGTCTAGAATTTGCATATTTGGCTGCACCGCAGTCAGCACAATCTTTGATTATGAGTCTACGATTTTGTTCAGCTGGTCTTTCGTCCTTTTTTGGTTCAGGTATAGTTGGTCTCTTGTCAATTGTGGTAAGATATTTGACGGCTAGAAAATCTTTTTTCTAAAATTAAGTTTTCTTTAGAATGGAAATCAGATTTTCGAGAATTATCGTAATGATGAACGATATTATATTTATTTCTTTATTTTGGCTGGCTTTCAACTCGTTTTCATATTGATTTTTATTGGATGTAATCGAAAATATAAAATACTCAAATTACCAAATCATCATCATCTTAGTTCACGTCATTTCCTAACGTCAAATTCCAATCCCATAACTGATTGATTCATCTATCTATTTCGTTGTAATTTGTTTTCTTTTTCATCAATTTATCGTTTCACTGTTAATCTTGCTATTCGTAGAAATTTCCTTTTGAAAATGTTTTGTTTTTCAAAATATGTCCGTGTGATAAATACTATTCATACATTTGTAAAAAAGTAAGAAATATAAGAAAAAAACACAATATTTAATGCTTATCATTCATCTAATAAATATGATTTATAATCAACCATCTTACACGATGATACATTAAGATAACTTATCTATATTAAATTAAATAAAGCATATCTATTCGATATAGTTACTGAATTTTAAGTAATATATATACAAAAATTCATATATTTGTTAACACCATACAGCAACGTATTAGAAGCATCTGAAAGCATATTCTTTTGTTTTTAATTAATAGAAAAATTCTATTCATAACGTAGAGTTATAGTAATCAACGGTTTATTATAACAATTGTTCGAATGAAATGAATTTTGAATTAAATGTTGTTATCTAATTTTGATAAATCCTAACTGAAATAAATCATTTTATATATTTTAATAAAACTATGATTGACAACGTCACATATTCGGTTTCTCATTCCTGATTACTATCGTGACACTTAATTATCACAGGTGTAGACGAAACCGTGACTGTAACTAATCGTTTTGAGAAGCTTATAACCATGACTGAAAGTTAGCCAAGGACACAACAATATACACACGTTTTTCTTGTCGATTGCAATATCAAATCTTTTATAACATCAAATAATCTGATATTATCAATATAATTATCTTAATGAAATCGAATTATAAAATAGAAGCATCAAAGCAAATACTAAAAATAAAGTAAGGCGTTAAATACACATTTGTGAAAATTTGAGATGATATCAGAAAAGATATTCATCTCAGCTATTGGCAAAGGTGAATATTTTGAAATAATGTTAATACATATAACGAAATTTTTGATGTCTATATTAATTCTTACTCAATAATCAGTAAGATAATAAAACAAAATGTGTTTTTTTTGTCTTCATATTTTATCTATTTTAAACTAGTATATATATATTTGAAATATAGATAACATTATTACTGATAACCATTGCTGTCTTTTTTATTACAGTATAGACAACTTTTTTCTTTTGTCTATGAAGATCATTAGTCATTATTAATTATTTATTTAGATGACAGATACAAGTATTGATGAAGTTTCTCCACTTATTTTCCATTCTTCACGTATTCCAAATACACCAGATAATCGAACTCAATTTCAACGAAAATTATCCGTATGGTTAATTTTAATTAGTGCTGGTTTAGAACGTTTAGCATTTTATTCATTAGCGGGAAATCTTGTTCTTTTCCT